GCGGCAGGCAGCGCCGCGGTCTGGGCACGGGGCCGTCCGAAACAACAAAACCACCAACAAAATCAAAAAAATGAGGAAAACATAGCACTCGATGTACCACAAAAAGGACCCTCGGTTCGGTTCCGAGGACTGCATGAATCCGCAAGAGGAGAGCGGAGAGCAGGAAACAACCCGCCGCGGCGCGTCGCGGCCGCGCCGACCGAGGCAAAGCTTCCACTGCGCTGCGCGTGTCTGGAAGGGACCACAAAGGTGCTTCGAATATCGATTATAGAGTTACAAATAAATTACTACCGAACAGTGAATTCACAAATATGGAATCCAGGAATAATGAGGATCTAATGAGTACGTACATTGACAATGTCAACTTTAAGAATATTAAGCCAATTATGAGATATTTTTTAAAGTCGGGAGAAAACTAGGCATGAACGAATCAGTGTGGCCAGGCGTGAAGGACTGGGGGGTAGGGGGCGCCGACGACGATGATGTAACAATAAAAGGGCAGCCCAAGGAAGTAGGGGAACAACCGTACAACCAGGAAGGAAGAGACTGCTGTGTGTCCTGACTGTGGGGACAGCCACACAACTCTACGCATGGTTTGTTAAAACTAAACACCGCGCACCAAAAAAAGGAGAGAGTCCATTTTACTGTAGATGTTACATATCTACACGTACGATAGTTTAAAAAATTTTAAAAGCTACATCTGGAACTGAGAACTTGTTTTTTCCTCTCTATACTTTTCTACTTTTTTGCAACAAAAATGCATTACTTGTTATTCTATTTTTTAAAAAAATAACGTAACTACAGTCTGACTGCAAAACATAAACCAAGCCACCCTGACATAGTTTAACAGAAATTAACACAAGGGGTTTTGACAGAAAAGCTCATGGCAGACACCACTTTCTTCTGGGCTTTAGAGACAGAGCCGACGGCACAGTATCCTCCTTCAACACCAAGATCGCAACAATAAATCCTAAGATCACACACTCACAACTAACAAGGGAACATCACCGTTACTTTCTTCCCATCAGAACCCATATATTCAGCACAGTGAATGCATAACGTTTGTTTAATAGGGTTTGTCCTGTAAAGAAAAACACCTCAGTATCCCTGGGTGTTTCACAAAACTGGATTAATTCACGTTGTCCCTGGGACCACAGGAGTGATTGACAAGGCATGTGCTTGTGATCCTCAAGGAGTTGGTTCTAAATCAAGAGTCAGCAAACTTCCTCCGCAAAGGGCCAAAGTGTAAACATTTTTGCGGGCCTTGCAATTGCAATGTCCTTTATGTGCAAGAACAAAAGCAGCTACAGGTGATGCATAAATGAATGAGGGTGGCCACCAGCAATAAAACTTTATTTACAAAAACATATGTGAGGAGGCAGGATTTGGCCCTCCCATTCCAGTTTGCTGGCTCCGGTTCTAGATGAAGGAGTTTGACTATATACATAAATTTTAAAATGAGTTGAGAAAGGGTCAGGGTACGGACAGGTCCACTGTGAAGAGCACTAACATGTTAAGATGCCCAAAAGGGAACAAAGGAGGGTAACAGAGGGCCAGGAGAAGCCAGCTGCAGGTGAAAAGTCACCAGGGGTCTGTGCCTTCCAGGAGCAAGCAGGCAGTGGCAAGCACGGAGAGGTCACCTGGGGTGAGGTTGCAGGAAACAAAATTGGGAGGTGAGGAATTACCATCTCTAGAGCCATCAGCAAAGCACTGGAGACACAAGCCAGATGCCAGGGGCAGAGCAGTGGGTGAAAGGTTAGACAGAGATTGTGGTGAGGACCAGCCGGAAGGGCGGTGGGGCCCGAGGAGGGGACTGCAAGCCAAGGCCAGAGGGGGTTGGTGAGTAATGGAGTTCAGGGGAAAGAGTAATGGTCCTGGGCAGATGGCAATCCCTGAACAAACAGGGGAGAGAGCAGGGACCCAGGGGGGTAAGTGCACTAGATGAGAAAAAGTTATCTCCCCAAATGCAGTGACTGTCAACTGGAGACAAAGTCTGCAGACAGTCGTTTGTCATGACTTGGAGAAGGGAGGCACTACTAGCATCTAGTGAAGAGAGACCAGGGATGCAGCTCAACTACTTACAACACACAGGACAGACCCACAACCAAGAGAATCCAAACCCAAATGTCAAAGTCACTGAGAGTGAGAGAGAGTGCTCTAATCAAATAAGGATGGAAGTCAGTGATGGAGTAGGGTACAGTGGGGATCCCAGGGGGCTCACCCTAATGACCCCTATGAGTGAGGTGGGAGCGACAAGGGGCAGGTCTCCAGGAGATAAAGGTTAGGAATCACACCAGGAAGGTGACTAAGCAGGTGGGTATTCTGCTCCTAGAACCCAGGAATGCATAAGAGAAGACTCAACAGCCCTGGCTGCTGTGGCTCAGTGGACTGAGTGCCAGCCTGCAAATCGAAAAGTTGCCAGTTCAATACCTAGTCAGGGCACATGCTTGGGTGTGGGCCAGGTCCCCAGTTGGGGGCACACAAGAGGCAACTGATTGATGTTTCTCTCACACGGTGATGTTTCAGAGGCAACCACACAATGATGTTTCCCTCTCTCCCTCCCCTCCCCTCTCTCTAAAAATAAACAAATAAAATCTCTAAAATTGCCATTAAAAAAGAAAGAGAGAAGATACAACAGAAACATGTCATACGGCCTTGAAAAATGAGGGGGATCTGAAAGCAAGCATCTCCCACCCCAATTAGCCAAGTCATGAGGCTCCCCAAAGCTCTGTAGGTTTTTATTTTAATTCATCCCACATTACCTTTATTCTCTGCCTTGGCAGTGCCCACAGGTCATCTCAGGCCAGAGCCAGCTCACCCAAGGAGAAAGCCACTGCCCAGCTCAGCAAAGCAACAGGGACTCCACGGAAGGTGAACTGGGGGTGAGGACAACTCTGAGAAAGAGTCCCTCCTACCTTAAAAATCATGCCGTTTTCCCTCCACACCCACCCAGCCAGAATGCCCTATTGCTTGACATTAGAGATTAATAATCTGTCAAGTTTCTCCCCCTCCCCAAACCTCTGAGGGGCACCCTACTTAGTCATTTGATAGGATTTTGTTAACCATTACTGCAGGAGCAGGGTGCAGAGTCCCAGACCCAAAAGAAGAACTGCTTGGTAAGAAACCAGTGTTCTGAAACCAGACTAGTTGGGATTCCAACCCCAGCTCTGCCACCAGCTGGCTCTGTAACCTAGTCAGTCTCCTCACCTTCTGGAAAATGGATAATAAACCCTATTACATCATAGAGTTGTGGTGAGGATTAACTGAGATTACACATGCAAAGCATACCGAACAGCACCCACCTCCTATTACTATTAGTTCAGTATTGTCTGGAGAAGAAAGGCGTACTAGAGAGAGCATGAGGTGCCAGCCGAATCAAGAACAAATATTTACCCAACACCTACTAGGTGCCAGGCACTGTTCTAGGCTCTGGAAATGCAGCAGAGAATGAAAGAAACAAAAGTCTCTGCCCTTGTGGAAACTGGAAACACACAGAGAAGTGGTAATGCCATCCACTGACCCCTGGAAGCCCAGGCACAAATCCACAATTACCAACGTCACAAGAAACAGAGGCGCACAGAGCCACGCACGCACACACACGTGTGCGCACACACAGTCACAAAGCCTGAGGTAGATCTAAGAACGCATCTTGGATTTTCTTAACAAGAACCCAAACCAATCGCCACCCTTCACTGAATGCCTCGGGTGTGGCCGGCACTCAGGGGCTCTGAGACGCCGGGCAGCGGGCAGCGGCACTCATCACGCTGCGTCTGTCCAGCCCAGAGCCCGTGTGTGCCTTCCCCTGTGCCTCACTCACGTGGGGATCTCAGGAGCTTCTGTCCCTTCCCAAGCCCTTCCTCATCACGACTGATTTCCTTTCAAGGACAGATCTGAAGGAACCCAACAAATACTTTTAAAACAGGGCCTCAGGCACCATGGGGAAACACACCAGCTATATCCTCTTAACTGATTCTTCAGCCATTGTCCCACAGTCAGAAAGTCTTGCTATCGAGTTCCACGGAGGTTGCTGGGGCTGAGGTTTGCCTCAGTCTGCTGCCACTACAGGGACGCCCAGGAAGGACTCGGTGGTAGGAGAGGTTCACCCAAGGTGAGAGACCGCCTGGGGCTGACAAGAAGCCCCTTCATTAAGGGCAGAGCTGTCGGAGGACGTTATCCCAGACACAGGGGACTCGAGGCGCACACAGAGGTCCAAGTCCTCCCTCTGGCACTGACTTGAGGGCAAGTGAGTTATGTCTCCTCCCAGGGCCTGTTTACTCCTCTTTGCAATGGGTGAACAGCAGTATCTGCCTCCAGGGACCACTATGAGAATCCAGAGATAAGACAGACCAGAGCAGAGGCATTCGGAGAGACGCTAATTATAAAACCTGGTAACAACAGCCACTGCTTCTGCTGCTACTATCCTGCTGTTGCCACAGCACTGGAGTTTGCCTCCGGACATCTGGAAACAGACGCCAAAAGCGTAAACATGGACCTAAGTCCCAGGTGGCCAAGGGCCTAGATCTCAGGAAGAGGGGGAATGTTACAATTTCCCACTCCTGGCGGCGTCATCTACCAGCAGGAACCCCAAAAGACCGCCAGTCCGTCACCCTCGATTCTGTCTGCAAACTCTGTGCGCCCCGGGCACTGGGTTATCAGAGGCCGCCCGGACCCAGGGATCTCACTGCTCATAGGCGACCCAGAGGGGGACCGAGTTGGGCTACCAGACGGCCAGGCGTGGGTCAGAGGCGTGCTCGAGAGAGAGGCGCCTGCAGCGGGGCGGGGACTAGGGGAAGGTTCCTCCAGTCTGGGGCCCGCACAGGGGCGCGGAGCCGCGAGCCTAGGCGGGCAAAGGCCAAGGTCAGAGGCTTCCCGCCCCCTGCCGGGCTGCAGCAACGATCCAGTCCATCCGCCCCCCACCAAGGAGGGCTCCGAGTCCCCAACGGCGACTCCATTTTGGCACCACGCCTGCTCCCCACACAGCCCCGGAACCCCAGACTTACCCTCTCCAGGATACAGGTGGCCCGCGGCGCCCACCAGCAGCGCAACCACCGCCACCAGAAGCGGCGCAGCCACCGCCCCCCGTCCGCCCCCGGCGCCCATGGCTGCGGGAGCGCGGGGTTCTGGCGGATCAGAGCGTGCAGCGCCGGACCGCCAGGGTCATGCTCCGAGGTGGCCGCCTGGGAGGCACCGTGAGTTCTCCTCTTCCACGCCGGCAGCCCACGGGCCCAGATCCCACCGGGGAGGGCCCTCGATTCAGTCCCAGGAGGGGCGCGCGGCCTCGACCACTACAAATCAGGCGGCGCGGCCGCAGCCCGGGGCCACTGAGGCCCGGGCCCCGTCCTGCGATCTCAGGGCCCGGATACCCGTGCTGCGCTCTGGACCTCTCAGCCCTCGGCCCGAACGATCTGCGGACGCCTGGACAAACGCACACGCGGACAGAAGACAGAAGGACGGAGGGACGGGCACCTGGGCTGGCGGGTAGCGGGCTGGCGGGCGGGAGCAAGAGCTGCTCGCCCGTAAACAACGCAGCGCGTCAGCTGGGCCCCAAGCAGTCGGCGAGAAAAGGCGGCGCGGATCCAAACGCGGACGGGACTCGGCGGCGGGGGAGGGGCCTGGTAGGGGTGGAGGGAAGACCAGCAGAGAGAGGTGCCGCCCCTCCCCTCCCTTCCCCTCCCCTCCCGCCCGCCTAGCGCTCTTGGGCCCAGCTCTGGAGGTCTTCGTCGTCGCGCGCTACCTCAGCGGGCACCCCAGATCCCTGACGAGACTGAGCGCCCTGAATCAGAGTGTGGGGGCGCCCCGGATACCCAACCCAGCAAGACGTTTGGGGCATTCCTTTTCTTTTTTTTAAATATTACACTAAGCCCTGGCGGGGTAGTTCAGTTGGTTAGAACACCAAGACTGCGCGCTAATCCCCGGTCAGGGCATAAACAAAAAGCAACCAATGAATGAATCAATAAGCGGAACAAGTCTCTCTCCCCGCCGTCCCTTGTCCTTTCTCTAAAATCAATAAATAAAAATTTTAATATTGCATTAAAATATTATCCATTTTGGTTACTTGGGTTTTTCATACTCCCTTAACTGTCCTCCCAGCCAGCGAGTCTGGTCCTAGAGCCCCTTGCCCCACCCCAGAAGTTCTGCCCCGCATCCAGCCCACCCCCACCCCACTCTCTCCCTGCCTCAGCCTCAGGGCCCTGAAGACAGCGATGTGTAGGAGCGCCCCTGTGCTCAATGTGCTCCTGGCCCAAGTTCTGTGGGAGGCCTGGAGTTCAAGTTGAAAAAATAACACCTGGGGAGAATGTGCAGAACTTCACCAAAGTGCAAACTGGGCTCTAGACATCCTGTGTACCGGGCAGGTGGACACCAGATTTTCAATTGGCAGACCTGAACTCCATGTGTGTCTGAATGTCTAGCAAATGTCATTCATGAGTAGGGCATGACAATGGTGCACCCACCTTACTGAAGGGACGTAAGGCACCTTAAGTATAGGAGAGCAGAAAGGAGTGAGAATCTGGCTCACTCTCGCCTCACTTACTCTGTGACCTTGAACCCCTGACTTCGCTGTCTGGGAGGTGGCCTCTCTTGCATGATGGATGTAACAATACCCGACTTTTGGATCTGGTGAGCTGCGGGAGAAACAGAGCAGGAGAAGCCAAGCAGTACAGCTCTAGGCCCAAGGCCTACATTTTCAGTTTGCCAGGAACTTGGCCGGTTGTTCTGTTATGGTGCCAAACCTCTTCCTGCCTCCAGGCCTTTGCCCTGGCAGTTCCCCGACCTGTATCTCGACCTCTGCTCCAGTGAGCCTTCTGGGACCACACTTTGTAAATGCTCCTCCCCTAATCCCTTTGTTCCCTTCCTCTTATTTACAAGGAAGATCTGTATCTCTACCTGAAATTTTTGTTTTGTTTTTCATGCCTGTATCTTCTCCCCTCCCTGTGATGGCAGAAAACTTGTCCATCTTGTTCACTGTTTTATACCCAGTGCCTGACATTTCTGTTGCTTAATAAATATTTGTTGAATGAAAGAATCAACATGCAATAAGTAATGGGGATTTACAGTAAGCAAAATAACATGATCCATTTCCTTGTAGATTCACAGTCTACTGGAGGAAAAGGACCATTAATTAAACAATCAAATGGCAAGGAGGGTTCTCCAAGGATGTGATTTTGAACTGAAATCTGAAGATGAGAACAAAACAGCTAAGGGAAGCATCAGAGAAGTGTTCCAGGTAGAGGGAGCAACATGTGCAAAGGCCCACGGGAGGACAAACAGGTGTTCTTGAGACTAGAACAGGCACTGCAGCTGGAGCACAGAAGACAGGAAGCAGAACTTGTGGGCTGATCTAGAACACACCATGTTAAGTACTCACACTTATCCTAGAAGCAATGGGCAGGCATTAGAGGGTTTACACAAAAGTGTTAACATAATCAGGTTTTTTCCCCCAATAATTTCTCACCATATGCAATGGGGCAAGAATGGACCCGAGGAGAAGAAATTGAAGGCCACTGCAGTCCCAGAATAGCAAGAAGTATGCACTCAATAATGTTGTTCCCTTTCCTTCGTGTGCAAACCTGGGCAGAGCTGTGGGCTTCCCTATGACCCATGGGAGTCCCGAAAGCCACCACAACTCCAGGCAGGCAGCATGTGCTGAAAAAGGCATGAAAGGGGACATGCTGGCCTCTGGAAACACACACACACACACACACACACACACACACACACACACAAGCAACCACCTAGAAATTGAAAGTCAACCTCTGCCTTTTATTAAAATCATTGGAATAGAAAAATCACCATTTGGCAATCTCCAAAATAATTGATTCAGGCAAGGACCATCAATGAGTGCTAAAGCTAGTGGTTGGAAGTTTGAGAAGTAACAGGATATTCCCTGGTCTTCAAGTAACTGTTTGCAAGATACTTGTCAATAATAAAAGAAAGAAAAAATGGTATCTTCCTGAAGGAGACAGCTGGCAGGTACACTTTAATTAAGTGATCAAAGTTGGTCCTAAATATTTTTTCTTAATAAAAGACATGAATGGGACAGTTGAAGACCAGAAAGACCAATTTGATAATAGTATCATTATCTATTGATATTGATAATATTGTATCAATATTAATTGTGATCATTATACTTAGGTGACATTAGAGACTGTCCCTGGTTTTAGGAAATACACACTGAATGAAGAATGCAGGGGTAAGGGGACGTTATGTCTGCAACTTACTCTCAAATGTTTCAGGGAAAAAAATGAGGCAGAGAAAGAGAGAGGACAGAGCAGATGCGATCAAGGCGATAAGCGGTCAACAGAGCAGGGGGTGCGCACGGGCGCCCCGCACTGCTTGTGCGCCTTTCCTGCCGCCATCATGTCAGCACAGGAAGTTTTAAGGTTTGAAAACCCATTTGGGGCTTTTTGTTTTGTTTGTTTTTCTTCAGTTGGCTTGGGTTTGACATTTAAACACATTGTACTCTGATGCATGATTGGTTCATGGTTAAGGAACATCAGCACCTGACGCTCTGCTTTCGTTTCCGTCAAGGAGGGCTGGGAGGGACCCCACCACCCCCCTGCTGAGGTCTTTCTTCAGCAGGTCCCTTTGGCACAATGTCTCTCCATCTAGCTGCTTTCCATTTCATTGAAGCAGGAAATTTAATGTAAATCCTGATTCTGGTGTTGTCATGGAAACTGGCTTTAATACGTGACATGTAGGAGAAGGGAAGAGGGGGGACTACAGCTTTCATTTGTGAATAATAGTGCAAAAAATCAACGTCAAGAATTTACAACAGAATCAGGCAGAAGAATGAAGGAACACAACACGCCCTGGCTGGTGTGGCTAGATGGATTGAGCACCATCCTGCAAACCAGAGGGTCACCGGTTCAATTCCCGATTGGGGTGCATGCCTGGGTTGCAGGCCAGTCCCCAGTGAGGAGCATGAAGAGGCAACCACACATTAATGTTTCTCTCTCTCTCTTTCTCACCGCTCTTCCTCTCTGTCTAAAAGTAAATAAATAAAATCTTTAAAACATAAGTAAAAGAACACAACACAACCACCAGGACCACCAGGATCAACCAGGATCAAGTGGACCTTGGACTAGGAGTGCAAAAATGGCTCAGTGCTAGGAAGTCTAGTCATTGCGGTCACGGTACTCATAGGCCGAGAACGGGAGACTCATGGACACATCCCTGCTACTACAAATGTATTTGATGAATTCTGTAGCCCTTCAGAAATGAAGCCATAAGACTCTACATTGGGGAAATTTTGTTTTAAACTTCAGAGTAGGGGATATCTCTTTAAGCGAGATATAAATCCCAAATCTAAAAATAAAACATTTGGCTAGGTAAACATTAAGACTATGTGAAAAGAAAAAATAAAATCCTACATAAAGGCAAAATTCATTTTTAAAGGGAGAAAAATATGCAACTTAAGTGACCGTTAAAGGCATGCATTACATTATAATACATAATATATAATACATAGTGTTAACTTTTCCAGTGAGAAAAATAATCAAACTCTTGTTTTCCAAAAATCTGAATGGCAATGCATATAAATCAGCAGCTCACAGAAACAGACCACTAAAAACAAAAAATAAAAGAAATACAACGGTATTTAAACATAGAAAAGACTGTTTACCCTTCCCATGTTGCTGAGTTTGCCAACACTCAGAAAAATAGGCAACACAATGCAAAGGTCTATGAGAAAACAGACACTCTCAGAATCACTCGTGTGAACAGTTTCAAACCCAGTGTCAATTTGGCGATGACTTTCAACATCTAAATTGCATTGACCCTCTGCCCCACTGGTCTCACTTCTAGCAATTATGCACAGGAATATCCAGCCTAGCCTGACCAATGGCTCAGCTGGTTGGGCATCACCCTGTAAAGGGGAAAGTCACCGGTTCAATTCCCAGCCAGGGCACATGCCTGGGTTGAGTCTTCAGTCAGGGTGTGTACAAGAGGCACCTTCCAATCAATGTTTCAGTGATACCTATACATTCTCCGCAAAAACTACCTAATCAGTTCAAACGTTTCAAATTTTCCTTGTTATTTCTCTTTCTTTTTTCTCTGATACCATTCACATATGATTTGCCTCAAGTTCTTATAGTAACAGGCAATATTCTCTAATAATTTTCATGGGCTTTATTTCTCCCCTTTTCAAACTTTGGAGCTATAAAGCCAGGATGTAAAATTGTTATAAGAAGGTGGACATCTTGAACTAGTAAAAAAAAGTAGATAGTGGTTACCAGGGCCCAGGGAAGGAGGAGATGTTGTTAAAGGTCACAACTTGCAACTAGTAGATAAGTTCTAGAGATCTAATGCACAACATTGTGATTATAGTCAATGATACTAAGTTAGCCACTTCAAAGTTGCTCAGAGACTGCACATTAACTGTTCTCAACACACACACACAGACACACACACAGAAATGATAAATATGTTACATGATAGAGGTGTGAACTACCACTGCTATAATACTTGCCAATATGTAAGGGTATTAGACCAGCACACCGTACACCTTAAACATACGCAGTGTTTTGTCCATTGTATCACAGTATCTTTACAAGGGAAAAAGAAAAGAGACATGTTATGTTTACACAGCTACCC